CACACACACACACACACATACACACACATATATATGTACACCCTAGGCGGTTCCCCTTTAACATCACTTCCTGTTACTTCACAGGCAAATATCTCAACAACTGTTCATCTCAGCGACAAATGCATTCATATGGACTACAAAAATTTGACGTCACAGGCACTTTAAACACAGACCATAATACTGATATTACCAAATAACATGCACTTACATGTGTCTTAAGTCACACGTATACTTACTAATCCAAGCCAATTAAATCTTTCCTCATTGGCACTTTGAGGCTAATTAAATAAAAAAATGCTAAAGTACCTGCATTTCCTCTGTATTTCCCAACATGCAGTTTGAAACTGGATTTCTCATTTCCCACTTTGAAGTTCTTGTACTCTGCAAAAGCAGTGCCACCTTCATGATCCCACAGGTCCACCCTCAAAGTCCACTTCTTGGATTTCTTTTTAGTCAGAGCAAAAACTGTTTTCAGGCCGAGCCAGTGGTCGTCTAAAGAAATCAACAGAACACAAAAGACATCTACGTTATTGCTTTTCTCATGTTTCAAAGTACTAATTTTTGTTCAAGTTCCAAAAAGCTGAAGGTTCTTTCCAACTCCAGCTGAACCTTCAAAACTGTCTCTCACTGCCGTAGTTGTGCAACGAAAATCACGTTATTTTGTTCTCAGAGGAGCTTTGTCCTCACCCTCTGGACACAAGGCTCGGGTTGAACTTTTTCTTACAAACAATTGCACCAAGTAATGTGTGATTGGTCAGAAGTTGTGGGTGTATTTGTTTATGCAGAAAAGCACTTTGACAACATGGTGTCATTTTGCCTCAACTAATCCACTTTTAGAAGTTAGCAGTTGTTTGTGCAAACAAAGTGGATAATTTTGAAGATTTTTGAGTTTTAATGATTCTTCCAGACACTTATAAAGGTAGATAAAGCCCAAAATCTCCTAGATGGAGAGAGCACAGGCATTGGGCCTCATGCAAGAACATGTTCATATTCTTATCCTAAATTTCTCTTACTTTTGTTCGTACAAAGGGTTCGTACGAACATGTCACGTCAGATTCAACAAACACTTCTATTTTCAGGAAAAGTGTGTAAATGAGCTGCGTAAATTCCACCTGTTCATATCCAGCTGCTCGTGCACGCGAGAGGAGACGAGCATAATTACCACCCCAAAAACACCATATAAGGCTATGTTTCCTGCCTCAGATACAAGGAAGTGTCCATTCATGAAAAATGACAGCGAAAATTAAAAAGAAGAACTTTACTTGTTCAGAGATTGAAGTCCTTCTGTCAGAGATCCAGAAACGAAAATCTGTCATTTTTATCAGGTCAGCTGTGGAATAAAATGAGCTGCTAATAGTATAAACAACTGTGTTAAAATATCCAGGAGTCGCTGGAGGGATTATGTATCCCCTCTGGCCTGGGAACGTCTCGGAGACCCCAGGACGAACTGGAATGTGTCGGTCGGGAGAGCGGGGTCTCTCTGCTGCTGCCCCCGCGACCCGATCCCGGATAAGCCGGACGGACGGACAATTTATATTGTTAGTCTAAATTATTACATTTAAAATTATAACTCTAATTCAAGCAGAATAGCCTATTGTCAACATAATTATAGAGTGTGATTTATTTTCAACTCAAAATATCTTCAAACTAACGAAATATAAAGTTATTAGKGARGAAAAYCCGTCTGGATAACAGCAGACTGACTGCTCGTAAAATATACGACAGGTCTGGACCACTTGTGAATTTTGTTCGTATCTGAAAAAAAATCTTAGAATATGAAAACATTGGTGAATGCCACAMATTCTCCTAAATCACTCGTACACACAACTTAAGAACAAATCTGTTCGTACGAACGGTTCTTGCATGAGGCCCATTGTTCAAAGAAGAATCCATCTGCTGAGGTGTGGCATGAAAGATTTATGGCCAATTGGTGGACGTAGGGGTGGAGTGAAGACCCCAGAGGACAGAAATCCCTGCTGTGGTGTGTACTTGTGAACTAGGTGTGTGCAAAAACAAACATCTCACAACTACATTACCACAAGACAACTTCTTTGCTTCGGATGGCGTATGGAGAGCTCTTTAAAGGCGACATCTTAATTAAAAATCCACTTTTTTTCTCTCCATTTTCAATAATGTTGACAAAATAAAGCCTAGCACTTCAAAGGAATGGTCTTATTTGGATGTTTTTGTTGACAGGCAGGGCAGTGATGAGTATAAAATTATATTTGCTATGTAAAATATCTTGAATGGACACCAGAGGCCACGAGTATTGACATTACAAGTGGAACTTTAATATTATTCAGCAATTGCCAAAGTGGTTTTGCATGAGATCTGGTGGTTGTATCATGCAGTTACATGTGGGACGTACAGATCTCTCAGAGGCTTGATGTTGGAACAATTGTGACAGCACCCACACATATCTTGAAGTTTCTGATCACGCAAATAAGAGCGATCATTCAAGGGAGAATTGCCAATAATTATTGCCAATAGTTAATATCTGTGCCAGCCATGAGGATGCAGTTAACGGACTCTTCACAACAATCAGTTATTCATAACCATGTCTTGACAACTGCCATTAATATCAAAGTGGCTCAGCTCCATGTCCAACAATTAGTGGTTTGAGCAAATGGCGCCAATGTTACTCATGATATGGTGTTGGGGAGTCTTAGGGTCTAACTTCAGGTCACATTAAGCTTTTATTAGGGCGACCCTAATAATACAGTGTTTTATCAGACGCTCCCTTTATTTTCTTGTCTTATTGCCAGGGTGCTGTCTCAAGAGGGCTGTCTTTCAACAAGACAATGCTTTGTCCACACATTGTACATGTTTTCATTAGGGGTGTAGCAATCCATCGATCCATCAATTATCTATACCCGCTTTCTTCCTTTCTGGGGCACGGGGTCACTGGTGCCCATATCCAGCAGTCACAGTGCGAGGGGCGGGGGGTACACCCTGGACAGGTCGCAAGTCAATCACAGGGCCACCACAGGGATCCAGTGATCCACATCAATAAATCGATTATGATTAATTACATCAAGGCAACACAAAAACATTGAAATAAGATGCGTGTATGATGTCACATCATATCATTCGCAGACCTCTACATTTGAACTGAATCAGGATCAAATCATGATAGACTTTGTGATATTGAGAAACATTGTTATCATCATCCAAATAAATATAATATTGCATCGTGATAAAGCTGCTGATTTACACCCCTAGTCTCCATAGACAAACTGAGTTATATTCAGGTCCAACCAAATCAAACAAGAGGACTCTGCTTRGAAATCAACTAGGAAATCACTATCTATAGTGGCATCTGCTTCATGAAAGGATATAACAACTGTGCGACTATGTGGAGCACAATGGGCCTCATGCAAGAACATGTTCGTATTCTTATCCTAAATTTCTCTTACTTCAAGCTATTCTGCTTGAATTAGAGTTATAATTTTAAATGTAATAATTTAAACTAGCAATATAAATTGTCGGTCCGGCCGGCTTATCCGCTATTGGGTGCGGTGGGGGGGATGCCACTATAGATAGTGATTTCCTAGGGTTCGTACGAACATGTCACGTCAGATTCAACAAACTCTTCTATCTTCAGGAAAAGTGCGTAAATGAGCTGCGTAATTTACACCCGTTCTATCCAGCTGCTCGTGCACGCGAGAGGAGATTAACATAATTACCACCCCTAAAACACCATATAAGGCTGTGTTTCCTACCTCACATACAAGGAAGTGTCCATTCATTCATGAGAAATGACAGCAATGATTATAAAAAAGAAGAACTTTTTGAGTTCAGAAATTGAAGTCCGTCTGTCAG